CCCCAAAAATAAGGTCTGTCATTGTTTCCCCATCTATTTCCCATGAAGTGATGGGGCTGGATGCCATGATCTTAGTTTTCTGAATGTTGAGCTTTAAGCCAACTTTTTTACTCTCCTCTTTCACTTTCATCAAGAGGCTCTTTACTTCTTCTTCATTTTCTGCCATAAGGGTGGTGTCATCTGCATATTTTGAGGTTATTGATATTTCTCCCAGCAGTCTTGATTCCAACTTGTGCTTCCTCCAGCACAGCGTTTCTCATGATGTACTCTGCATATAAGTTAAATAAGCAGGGTGACAATATACAGCCTTGACGTACTCCATCTCCTATTTGGAACCAGTCTGTTGATTCATGTCTAGTTCTAACTGAGGCTTTCTGACCTGCATACAGATTTCTCAAGAGGTAGGTCAGGTGGTCTTATTCCCACCTCTTTAAGAATTTTCCACAGTTTGTGGTGATCCACACAATCAAAGGCTTTGGCACAGTCAATAAAGCAGAAATAGATGTTTTTCTGGAACCATCTTGCTTTTTCAATGATCCAGCAGATGTTGGCAATTTGATCTCTGGTTCCTCTGCCTTTCCTAAAACTAGCTTAAACATCTGTAATTCACAGTTCGCGTACTGTTCAAGCCTGGTTTGGAGAATTTTGAGCACTACTTTGCTAGCATGTGAGATGAATAGAATTGTGCGGAAGTTTGAACCTTCTTTGGCATTGCCTTTCTTTGGGATTGGAATGAAAACTGACCTTTTCCAGTCCTGTGGCCACTGCTCAGTTTTCCAAATTTGCTGGCATTTTGAGTGCAGCACTTTCACAGCATCATCTTTTAGGATTTGAAACATCTCAACTGGAATTCCATCGCCTCCACTAGCTTTGTTCATAATGATGCTTCCTAAGGCCCACTTGACTTTACATTCCAGGATGTCTGGCTCTAGGTGAGTGATCATACCATCATGATTATCTGGGTCGTGAAGATCTTTTTTGTATAGTTCTTCTGTGTATTCTTGCCACCTCTTCTTAATATCTTCCGCTTCTGTTAGGTCCATATCATTTCTGTCCTTTATTGAGCCCATCTTTGCATGAAATGTTCCCTTGGTATATATAAGACTGGAATATGTTAGCTTTATTTTTATTTTTTACTGAAGGATAATTGCTTTACAGAATTTTGTTGGTGTCTGCCAAGTAACATGAATCTGCCATAGGTATACACATGTCCCCTCCCTCTTGAAACTCTCTCCCCATCCCACCCCTCTAGCTAGGTTATTACAGAGCCCCTGTTTGAGTTCCCTGAGTCATACAAATTCCCACTGACTATCTGTTTTAAAAGACTGAGAAAGGGAGGCCTAGACAGATGGTCAGGTACTTTCAATGATGAACGGGAATGAAAAAACTTAGAAGCATTTTTTTTCAAAAGTGGTAGAGGCTAGAAATAATCCAATATATTAATGAACAGCTTGGTCTGTCATCTGAATATATGAACAGGGAACATTTCTTCAACATGTCTTATCAAGCCCTCAGAAATTATTCTGAAAAATCAATGTACTACTTAAAGAGCCATGAAGTTGCACTCTGATGTTGAAAATAGATAAAGAAGTTGTGTAAATTATTACTTCAGGTAGAGGTGATGCAGTGAAGGGGCTAAAGAGAGGCAGCGGGTGCTATTTTACATAGGATAGTAATGAAGAACTTTTTGAAGTGGTACCATATGAGCAGAGATTTCAATGAAGGGAGAAAGCCATTAAAGCACTTAGGAGAAGAGCATCTAGGCAGAGATAGTAAACGCAAAGGCTCTGAGGTAAGTGTGCTTGGTATGTTCGAAAGACAGCAAAGCAGCCAATATGGCTAGAGTGTAACGAGAGAGAATGAGAGGGTTTTGGAAGATAAGGTAGCAAGGTAGCCAGGGGTAAATCATGTACAAACTTGCAGAATCACAGTAAGGACTCTTTTGTAAGATTTTGTTCGAAAATTACTAGAAAGTCCCTGCAGGGTTTTTAATAAGCATGTCAAAATATCTGACTTACCTTTCAAAAGGATAAATCAGGCTCTAACATGTACAGGGGTAAAAATTGGATCACAGAATCCAATAACCAAAATTCTGAAGAGGACTAACTACTGCCTAATTGAATTAATCATACCTATCCCTAAATCCGCTCCTCATTAAGAATTACCTCTCTTTGTGAAGGATACTACCATTTATCAGTCTGTTCACATAACCAGTCTAAGAACCATCTTTGACTCTGACTTCTTCCTCATATCCAGACAGCACATTTTTATTCTATCAAAACTGCTTGACTCTGTCTTCTTTTTTTTTTTTTACTGGTGCTATAAGAGGCTTTAAGCATGTCTAACCTGAACTACTATAAAAGCTTCCTTAAACTTGCTGTCTGTAGACTTGACCCTCTCATTAATTTTCCAAGTCTTAGGAAGACGGATGTGAACAATCTAAATTTTAAATCTGAACGTGCATTTTCTTTGCTAAAAGTCTTTCAACAGCTCCACACATCTTATAAGATAGAATTTCAACTGCTTCATTTTTTACAAAGTACTTATAATCTGGTTTGTCTTTATGCTAGCTACACCTCTCACTATACCTCATTGCTTAAAGTTCTTTCAGTGGGGGAAAAGGAAAAAAGAAAAAGTCTTATTGTGCCTTTGTGGAGTTTCAGATATTTCCCCATTAGGTCATGGCTTTTCATTGAAAATAACTGCTAGAACTGATGACTATTACTATTAGAACCAAATCTAAACAAGAATAACTCACAGGACTATCTCAGAGACTATAATGGCTGCCGATATGCTCTGGATATTGAACTTGACCCCTTCTCAAATCAATGAATCTAATTAAAAATAAAAGGCTACTGGAAATTATCCATTTATTTTATCAGGCTACTCACAGGCCTGTTTATTTTTCAACCTGTGGTTATTATAAGTTATGTTTTCCTTTTAATACACCCATAAATCTATTAAATTTGGGCAAGGGAGGGTGTTGATTACAGACCACTTTGAGAATATGGTGAAACCTGTGGCACTCTTATTCATCTTATGTATCAGAATATTGGGGATTCTCTGGTGGCTCAGTGGTAAAGAACCCACCTGCCAATTCAGGAGATGCAGATTCAATCCCTGGGTCAGGATGATCCCCTGAAGAAGGAAATGGCAACCCACTGCAGTATCTTTGCCTGGAAAATCCCATGGACAGAGGAGCCTGGCAGGCTACAGTTTGCTTATAACTTCAAGGATTCATCAATCTCTCAATCTAATCCCTAGGTTAAAATCTAATCTAATCCTAGGTTAAAAGTTTACTCCAGAATGTTTTCATTTCAAAACACTGAGTATAATATGGTGCATTCACAGCTTCAAGAACACCATATTTACCTTTTAAAAAGGAAGCCCAAAATAACATTTGATAAAAGTGGGAATAAAACAAAAACAAAAACCCAAACTAATGATCAATACTAAAAATAACAGAGAAAAACCAACTCTACTACCCCATAATAAAAGTTCAAAGTTAGTGAAGTAGTATAGTATTGGATCATGTAAATAATATATCAAGTAGGAACAAATATATTTCTCTAAAAATAATTTTAAAATTATTTTGAAATATGGCATATACTGAAACTAATTTTCACAATTAAGCTTAAAAAAATGTTATTTATAACATATACACATTTCTGTCTTTTCAGCATTTTCACAAATTGCATTAGGGGCTTCCCTGGTAGTTCACATGGTAAAGAATCTGCCTGCATAGTAGAAGACCCATGTTTGGTAGGGTAGGGAAAATCCCCTGGAGAAGGGAATGGCAACCCACTCCACTATTCTTGCCTGGAGAATTCCATGGACAGAAGAAGCCTGGCAGGATACAGTCCATAGGGTCGCAGAGTCGAACACAACCGAGCGACTAACACACACACACACACACACACAGGTAGGGTACATGTCTCCAAGCAAAGACGCCCACTGTCTCCTTCTCTTCCCCCAATTTTAAATTCTTGCTAAACTTAAAAAAAAAAAAAAATCCTACTCACTTTTATTCTGAAATTATGAAATATCTATTAAAATACGGAAGAAACTAATTCACAGAGACAAAAATCTTTAAAATAAATAAGTTGAAAGTAAAAGGGTGGATTTTAGAATAAATCCACTTTTCTAAGACTTTTTGAAAATTATAAAACTATAGAACCTTAGATTGGAAAGGACCTTCATGTTAAACTGGTTTGGTTGTTCCTAACATTTTCTCTTTCACATTATATCTCAGAAAAAGGACACATTCCCATTAGTAACAAGTGCTCCCTGTAACACTAGTTTTCAATTAGGAGTAACATGCCCATACCAGATTCCCTAAACACCCAAAGATGAGTCCAATCATTAACAACAGAATGTCTTCTCTTTTCATTTATTCTTTCTTAAAGATCTGTATGTAGTGATGGAAAGTTCATTATACCTTAAATGTTTTTAAATAAATTTTTTGTTTTATTAACAGAACAACTATAGATTTACAGAAAAGTTGCGGTTTTCTGTGGACAGTTCCTCTGCACCCTTTACTCAGACTTAAAAAAATTTTACTGATTGATTTTGGTAGAAATGAGCAATTCAGAAAGTATTACTTTAGAAATCTTTAGTTTCCAACTTGTTTTATTGTCAATACTTATAAATTTGGAGGTTAAAGAGATTTCAGAAATCCTAATACAGTGCTTAAACTGTAAAATCATGAAAAGTACAAAAATGCAAAAAATGTAGTGCCAAACAAACCATGAAAAGGATACTTGTTTACAGTGTAAAAGCTTAAACAAGAAGAGTATCATCTTGTTCACATCAACTGTGAACATTCACACTAGATAAATTTTTTATACCTTTGTACCCTGTCCACAAATGACTGTGAAAGTGCCACAGATTCTGATTCTGGCTTTCAAATAAATTTTATCAGGTAGGCTAATTCATACATGGGGAAATCTGTGAATAATGAGAATCAACTATATACACCTACATTTATTTACTGTACTTACCTTTGAGGATCCATTTGAATACATCTGTATCATGTTCTCTGCACCTTGTTTTACTTTAAGTTCTATATCCAATTGTTTTTGTAAGGCCATCAACCTATTATTGCTGGTGGAACAACGAGAGTCACTACTGGGAGTATCTGGAGTCCGTGGGCAATCTGTAAGTCAAATAGTATGTTAAAAATTATTTACTAGGATCAATTGCTGCTTAAAATTGCAAGTTAATATTTTCCAAGAATAAAGAATTATGAAGTTTGAGATAAGCTTAAAGTCATTTAAATACAATCTCCTTATGCTTACAGATAATATGAGCATTTGTCAGGAAAATATTCAAGTAGAGTTGTAGGACCACCTGCCAGGGATACTATAGAAGTGACTATCCTGAGTCTGAAGCTGAGTTTAATCACTGTTCAAAGTTTTACTAGCACAATTACTTTATAATTAAATCAAATCATTTTGACTAATCTGTTCAACAATTAAACTAAATTCTCTACTTATTACCTGACTGGTTAGAAAACAAAGCATTCTCAAACAAACTCTACTAAAATAATTACTTATAAACAGGACTAAGGGTACTTCAAATATCATACTAGCATTAATTAAGTAATAATCTAAGTGTATGCATAAAGCCTTCGTATTTTATTTTCTACTATGATGGTAGCGGTGTAGGAAGACCAAAAATTCAGTCCACTGCTTTTCATAAAGCATACCATGGTACTTTTATTTGGAAACAAAAACAAAAACTTCAAATAAAACATTTTAATTATTCTTAGTAATCCATTATTGTTGAAACACATCTGATAATTTGACCACATATCTAAAATTCTTCATATTGAAGTTCATTATTTTGTGTTTTATCCACATGAAGTTAATGAACTTACAAAAATACAGATACTATGTTATATACTGATAAAAAATAATACTATTTTATAATTTATATAGCTACTTTACAAGGTGTAAGTCCTGATCTAAGGACTTTCTTGACTCACTAGGCCTCATAACCGCTCTGTAACAAGTATTATACCTATATTACAGAAAAAAAACTACAGCACAGGTAAGTTAAGAAACTTGCCCAAGGTCATACAGCTAGTAGTAAGTCAGTTCTGTTCCAAAGTCTAGCCTAATAATTGCTGTGCTATGCTACCTTTTAGCCATTTATAAGTCTTGTAAACATGTGTACTAGACTCTGTGTATACTTACATATTTAACAGTATAATTTATACACAGAAATATGTGTATATATGCATATTAATTCTTTAAGAAAAACAACCATTTGAGACAGATATTAGGCACACTTTACACATCAGGATATAGGTAAAGTTACAGTTATTAGCTAGTATTCAAATTCATGAATGGTTTTTATTGTTACTGAACTCTCATATTACAAATGAGCTGATCCAAAAGTTGATTTTTTTTATAAGTGACATACACTTAAAACTACTATCAAAGGTAGATAATTTTTCAGGCACACAAAAGAACTATTAAACGTATTTCTATGGACAGAATGTTTGTTCACCCCCAAAATTCATATGTTGAACCTCTAATGTCAGAGAACTTGGAGGTGAGGCTTTCAGGAGTGATGAGGTCATAAGGGCAGTCTCCCTTAGTTACGTGAGGATATGGTGAAAAGATGTTTACAAACAAGGAAGAGGGCCATCATTATAACTCTATGTTGGCACCTTAATCTTGGAGTTCTCAGCCTCCAGTACTATGAGAAACAAATTTCTAGTTTATGGTATTTTGTTTAAATTCTTTAAACAAAAAGAATTTAAAACAATTAAAATTTTGTTTACATTCTTTTTTTTAATTGCTAAGAAGTAGTTCCTTTAATTATTATTATATTTTTATTTACTACTTATTTTGGCTTCATTGGGTGTGTGCTGCTGTACAAGGGCTTCTCGAGCTGCAGTGTGTGGGCTCAGGAGTGGCAGCACACGGGCTCAGTTGTGGTGTGCGTAATCTTAGTTCCCTGGACAGGGATCAAACCCAGGCCCCTCATTTGGAGTGTGGAGTGTTACCATTAGACCACTGGGGAAGTCCCTATGGTATTTTGTTAAAGTAGCCTAGATTAAGACATAAATACACACACTAACACACCCCCACACACACACTTCAGAGATTGTGCCTAGGTCTGAATCTCAGTTTTGACCCTGAGATTTAGTACAAACTGTGAGATATGGGATAAATTAGCTAATAGCTCTATGCCTCATATTTCTCATCTGTTAAATAGTGAAAATGACCTCTATCCCACAGAATTATTGTGACTAAATGTTATGTGTAAAGAGCTTAGAAAAGGGCATGGTGCATAGTAAATCCAATAAACATTAACTAGAACTAGTCAGTGTACAAGTGTTTGCTGAATACATAAATCAAATGCACATTACAGTAATGACTAAAAAGTATATTCAGATTTGTGAACAATTATGCTTTCTCCTCCATTTCCTTTTTTTAGAAACACAAATGATATAAGACTCTTGGGAAAAACTTAAAATTATACAAAATCTGGTTCTTAAAGTTAATTTCTAATAAGCACATTTTTTAAAAGAACTGGAATGCAGAGTTAAAAGGTCCTCAATAGAGACACATATGGAAATGTATTGCTTATAAAATACTTGATGGTGTTTAGCCTACAGTGAGAAAGAGAAATGATTCTTGCCTAAACATTTAAAAAACTATGAAAGAAGCTGTCCTTTCACAATCTTTCACAGGGCAGAGAATTAGAAACAATGGGTAAAGGTAGTGATAGCAAAACTTTTATCTCAGGAATAGAGGAATTCCTTATATTTTGAGTTATCTAAAAATTAAATGGTTTACCTTAAAAATGTAATAAAGTCCTTTGTCTCTGGAAGCATTTATATAGAACCTAGATTACAAACTATTAAAGATACTAAATAAGAAATTCTTGCACATTAAAGCACACTGTCCAAGACACTGAAATATCCATTCATTCTATCAGCTGGTGAATTGTTAATAATATTATTATGTCTAGTACTGTTTCCACGGAAAATTACACCTTGAGTTTTAAAAGAATTTTAAGAACATAAGAAATAACACACTGGTGGACTTCCTTGACAGTTAAGTGGCTGAAAATTCGCTTATCAAGCAATGCAAAGAACACAGGTCTGATCCCTGATCAGGGAAGATTCCACATGCCACAGGGAAAATAAGCCCTGTGTGCCACAACTACTGAACCTGAGATCCACAACAAGAAGACCATATACCAAGACAAAGAGTAGCTAGCCCTCACTTGCCGTAACTATAGAAAGCCTGCACCCGACAACAAAGACCCAGCACAGCCAATAAATAAATAAAATTTAAAAAAAGAAAGAACACAACAGTTAAGAGTCTGGGTTCTTGAGGTCAGAATGTCTGAGTTAAAATCCTGTGACTGTTACTTATTGGTGTGATCTTAATCAGATACTTAATATCTGTGTTATAATTATCTAACCACAAATTGGGTGTTATTGTGAAGATAAATCCTGAATAGTGCTTAGGCAAAAATGTAGGGCTCAATAAAATTACATGTCAGGGCTCAGTCAAGCAGCCGATATTTCTGCCACCTAATCTCCAAAGGAACTCACAAATTTTGTAATATAACCTCATTTTACTAATAAAAAAGCATACTCAGAGAGGCTAAGAAATTTGCAAAAGTCACAAGTATATGCCAAGTCAGAAATTCAACTTTAGAAATGTCTTGTTTTATAAAGCCCACTTTTTACTCATTTAGAGGTTAGAAAAACACTGTGCTGGAATTCTTTAGACTTCAGCTGTTTTCTCTTTCAACCTGCTACTTTCCCTAGTTTTTTTGTTTTAAAATTTTTAAAAAACTTTTATACAATTTTTAAAGGTGCCTTTCCATTTACAGTTATTACAAAATATTTGCAATTACTAGTGTTGTATTATACATCCTTGAGTTTATCTGACTCTCAACAGTTTGCACCTCCCACTCTCCCACATCTATACTGTCCCCCCCCTCCCCACTTTCCTCTCCCCACTGGTAACCACTAGGTTGTTCTCTGTTAGCAACAACTTTGCTTATTTTACATTATATTCATTTGTCATACTTTTTAAATTCCACATATAAGCAGTATAATATAGTATTTATCTTTCTGACTTATTTCACTTAGCACAATGTCCTCCAAGTCCATCCATGTGACTACAATGGCAAAACTTTGTTCTTTTTTATGACTGAGTAGTATTCCTTTACACACACACACACACACACACACACACACACACACACACACACACACACACACACACACACACACACAGAGCTGCTTTGTCCATTCAACAGTTAATGGACACTTAGGTTGTTTCCATACTTTGGCTATTATAAACAATGCTGCTATGAACATTGGGGTGCATGCATTTTTTTGAATTGGTGGTTTGGGGTTTTTTTGGATATATACCCAGGAGTGGAATTACTGAGTCATATTATTTCTGAGAAATCTCCATATTTTTCTCCACAGTGGTTCCACCAATTTACATTCCCATCAACAGTGTACAAGGATTCCCTTTTCTCTATCTCCTTGTGGACATTTGTTCTTTATAGGCTTTTTGATGATAGCCATTCTGACAGATGTGAGATGATACATCTTTTTGGTTTTCATTTGCATTCCCCTGACGATTAGCAATGTTGAGCATCTTTTCATGTGCCTGTTGGCCATCTGCATTTCTTCTTTGGCAAAGTGTCTACTCATTTCTTTGGCCTATTTTAAAATTTTTTTAAAAGCGTTGAGTTGTATGAGCTGTTTACATATGTTGGGTATTAATCCTTTATTAGTTGTATCATTTGAAAACATTTTCTCCTATTCAATACATTGTCTTTTTGTTTTGTCAATAGTTTCCTCTGCTGTGCAAAAGCTTTTTAGTTAGATCCCATCTGTTTATTTTTGCTTTTATTTCCTTTACTTTAGAAGACGGTTCCAAAATATAATCACCATGATTTATGTCAAAGAGTGTTCTGCCTGTTTTCTTGTTGGAAGTTTAACATTTTTACACTTAAATAGGCCTTTAATCCATTTGGAATTTATTTTTTTATATGGTGATAGACAATGTTCTAATTTCATTCTCTTATATGCAGCTGTCCAGTTTCTCCAGCACCACTTGCTGAAGAGACTGTCTTTTCTCCATTGTATATTCTTGCCTCCTTTGT